GGGGTATAATTTTACATATGAAAAGAAATGGCATAGATAAGCTTGCTTCTGATAAACATATCTATAAATAATAACCACATGTGAAAGTCTATTTACGCATTTAGAATTTAGTTTAAGTTTATTGCTGCTTTGCCATTAAACATGGCTTCCCTCCTTTTCATTTTCTTAATATGTATCTGGTGTCAACAGGCCACCAGCTTACAATAAAACTGTCTGAAGCTAAAAGCAATGACAATGACATAACAGCAGAACCTGTAATATTTACTAATTAACATGTAAACACACAACAGCATTAAATTTGCTTGGCTCTCGAGAGCTGCAAGTTCTTTGGAAACTAGCATGAAGTTACTAAACTAGAGAAATAGCTCATAACTGATCAGAAACCCACAACTTTTTATTTGTAGATATAAAGAGTTTGTTTAACCATGCTTTCTCCGCTCTACAAGTTAGGCTTGTAGATTAATTTGACATGTGAACAGAATGAAGTGAAATTAACACATAGATCCTCCTGATAGAAGAGCGTCAGAAATATTAAAAGTTATATGTGATGGCTTAATCATTCCATGGATCTTATTGGGGTTTGGACACATATCATGGTAAGTATCATCTAGAGATAGCATATAAAAGATGTAAACCTCCGTGATATCAGTTACTGGATATGCTACAGTAATATCAGGGAAAACAGTGGATGGAGACCATGGAACGACCAATATTACTGCAGCTGTGTGCAATGAACTTGCAGTCTTGTTTCGTTTGAAAAGCTTGCTTTCAAAAATTGAGACCAGATCTATGATCACTCCCAATCGGTGGTCATCTCTGAGTTGACTTTGGTGCGTCAAGACTGGCAATAAGATGGAGTCAGTCTGCAACAGAATGGGGTCAAGTTTGCAATTGCATGCAGTCTGGGAAAATATGTCAATTAACTGTGATCTGTTGCTATCTGCTTCACTTTTGCCATCTATGTACTCAGAAATTCACATTAACTACTTAAATTTAGAATCCAGCCTGAAATTAATACGTTTGAAATTAATAAGTCCTCTGCAAACAGTGACGTGTTTGCTAAACAGCCATTTTACTGTTGAATGGCATAGGCCCTAGCTTTTATATTGGAATTTAACCAGAATACAACCAGCGGGCAAACAGCTCGGTCGATTCTCCTACTACAAAGAGACGAGTGTAGAATGACTCCGATTTATTGCAACCTGTTGGAAAGCTATCTGTGTTTATAAATTAGATGGTAATTATGTTTAAACCCTTGCTATTTGGAGTCAGGTTGCCTCCCACCAGGAGAGCTGTGCAATGTGGTCAAAAGTGGTTACAGTAACTCCTTGCAATCAATCAACAAATGCAAAACAGAATAAATGTCACTGATTCAACATATATTCCATTTTCAAGAAGATTGCTGTCTTATTTTTACTCTAATGTGACTGCTGTTTTGAAGCTTTTGGTATTTATAGCATATGAAGCTAATAAGCTAGCAAACTTGGCCAATAGCATGTTTTGCACATTGTGTGATACTGAGTAATGTGCAAATTTTGTCAGGCTGAAAACAGATGTGAAACTGTACTACTGGAGTAAATTAACCAACTCCTTGGAGTATGTCTCAGTATGCTGCTATTAATGCTAATGAATGCCAAACAAGATCATCCACAATCAAAGTAGTCTCACCTCTACAAAGAGTGGATTTTTAAACCTTAATAGAAATGGCTGAGTTATATGAAATGGCACCTGCTGTAAAGATGTCATAAATGAAATGAAGAGAGCTTTAGAGACCAAATGCATTTTTGTACCAGCATGTAAACCTGTTTATTTCTGCTCTAAAGTCTATGGGCTCTGTCCTGTTTTTGGAGCCTTCCTCGAGTAGTCATTAGAGGAACTACTGCCTCGGCCCCAAAGTTTGCTGCTTGGTGTTACAAAACTCTAGATCCATATTATATATTAGTATATAGGTTTTAGCAAATTCCATAAAGCAGTCATTCAAATATTGTTGTTGTCTAAGCAACACATAGCAGCATGAAACAATGTTACAGAGTAGCACTCCAATAAAGCACGCCTCCTGGACAACATGTTCAAATTTATTTTTATGCCATGTTTATTCACTACTGTAATTCGGCTTAAAGTGTCATGCATGAGTTGTAGTTTAATAATAAGACTCAGATGTTTAATATTCATCTGGTGAGATGTTAGTTGGGCTCTGGGGCTTCATTTCAAGGCTAGAAGAAAAGCTGGTATATGGAGAGAAGGAAAGTAGATGAGCTGTGTTGTCATGAAACTGTGATGAGATGCTGGTTTATGGTCTGCAGCATACAGCCCAGCCCTCACTGGGGATAATGCCCACATCCTTGTTGGTGTCATCCTCCATCTGGACAACCACATCTCCCCAAACGCTCCCTCAAGCCAGTACAACTCATCCAAAAATCCGCCTTCTCCCATCCTCCCCAAATTCTCCCATGTCTTTCCCATCTTGCAATCGTTCCCCTGGCTGAATTCTGTACCCTGTTGCTGGTGTCCATGGCTGTGAAGGGACCCTCCCTCCCATATTTCCAGGAAACTGTCCAGACTTGTATGCCAAACCATGCTCTGAGCTGCGCCAGCCATTGGCTAGTTGGCTGTCCATCCACGCACCAGTCTGGTATTCACGCCACCCTGTCTGAACTCAAGTATGTCGGAGTGACTTTTCTGTCACTCAGTCTTCTGTTGTCTGAAAATCCCCCCAAAAATGACCTCACTTCCACTCCTCCCCACTGACTTTCTTGTTTTCCCTCTTTACTTGTGATTCTCAGTTATTTTTAATTATCTAATCTTTTGTACCAGTGTTGTATCTCAATACATTCTTATGGCTGCTTGTAGCGCAGTGAATTTAAGCTTAGTTTACTGTTCCACTCATTGTAATTCACTCTGCAATGAGCTTAAAATGGCAAATGTGTTGAAAGAGAATAATGTGATCCAGCTTAGAGCTTGATATCAAAACATATTCCCATGACAAAAATGTTAATCCAACCGAAATGTCATAATATCTAATAGTTGCCAATGGCTTTTGACAGCACAGAAGCAAACCATGAAAGCCCTGCAGCCATTTAGCCTAATAATGCCAACTTATCCTCTCTTTCCTCCTGGTGGAGAAATGTAATTTTTATGTGCTATGCTAATTTGTCTGGACGTGTCTGGACAATAATGTTGTAAATGCTGAGGTCAGAGAGGTTCATTCAGCTTAACAAGCAGCAAAAATGCTTATGTACACCTGATTTATTAGGGTAGATGTCTGATACACAGTACACCACAGAAGCTTTGAATGCTAAAAGTAAAGGGAGAAAGCTTTCAAAGCTGATGAGTTTGAAGTCAGATGTAGTGTGAGTACCCTTTGTCAGTTGCATTTCTGTAGTTTTGCCTCTGTACACCATCAACATATGATCGAACTGCTGAATTTAAGCTACAGTTCACAGGGTTAAACAAAAGTGTTGCTTTAACTGTTTAGGAATTACATTCATTTCTATACATTGTCTCACGTTCCATAACCGGTGTTGGTCAAGTTACTTGAAAATAGTAATTAGTTACTAATTACAGATTACTTTTCCAAGAAAGTAATCCCGTTACTTTACTGGTTACTTATTTTCAAAAGTAATTAGTTACCTTACTACTTAGTTACTTTTTAAAAACATGATAAATTTGTTTAAAATTAAAACCCATTTTCTGCATATTCCAGCATATAAAATATTTCTTTGTGTGTTTACACTCACTCTTTTAAATAGATACAAGTAGAACACAGCAAAAAGTAAATACAATCAAAGATGCAGCGGCACTGTCGCTCTTAAATCTATTTTCACCTGTTTAACAGGAGTGGAAAAGTCGGAGGTTGGCCCAGTCATGTCAGTGGGGGGATCCGGGGGTTTCTCTGTGAATTCCACATTCCCGTGGCAGCGCGCTAGGTGCTTGCTCAGATTTGAAGTTTAATTTTTACGCTGTAGAAAGACGATTTTTCCATATAGTAATCCCTTACTTTACTTGTTACTCGAAAAAGTGATCGGATTACAGTAACACACTACTTTTAATGCGTTACTGCCCATCCCTGCCCATAAGTAAATGGACAATTGAATGACAAGCAGTTTCGTGGTCAGGAAAGTGCTGTTCCCTCATAATTACATGACAAATTAGAGAACCACCTTATAATTTTACTTTTAATTGAAAGATCACAAATAGCTCTTTCAAACTATATATAAATCGTGTAACATTTGTACATTCTTATTTTTATCAATGCTTTCTAATTATGTGTTTCTGCTGCACCACCACTGCTCTCTCCTCGTCATCTCCACCTCATCTTCTTCCTCCTCACCACGAACCTCGTTTCCTGAGCTGACATCAGGGCTCTAGCGCATGAAAACATTATTATTTATCCCTGGTATTGTCACCGATACTTATTGTCAGCAGATTAGACTTTTGACCCTCTCACATCCTCACATCGAATGAGTCGATTTGCTAAGTATCAGAGTCCAACAATGTTAGATCCACTTGAGTTTGACATACACCAGCTAACAGAGGCTAACTCCTGCTAACAGCGGCAAAAACAGCAGCACTTACTGATGGAAAAGTTTAGGATATCCTCAACAACTCACCTCAGTATCACTGTCAAAGTAAGCTTCGCTGACTTTCTCAAAGTTTTAAGCCTCCTCCAGAGCAAATAGATGTGGACACTTCTCACTTGGCATATTGACAGCTGAGGTAAACAATAGTTTCTCAAGGCAGAGAATGGGATATTCCACAATGGCCAAGTCAGTGACCTGATCATAACCCAAAAGAGCATACTTCTCAGTTATTAAATGCAAACCTGAAGGCAGAGAGACCCACAAACAAGCAGCAGCTGAAGGCTGCAGTAAAGGCCTGGCAGAGCATCTCAAGGGAGGAAACAGGATTTGCTGATATCCATGCATTCTAGACTTCATGCAGCCACTGAATGCAGCAGACTTTCAGTCACATATTAAAAACAGTCCCTATATTTAAGATTGTATGTCTGATTACTTTTGAACCTCAGAAAAATTGGAACTATGTATAAAAAGAGCAGTGATTCCTGAACAGTTAAAGCAATACTATCATATTTCACCCAAGTAGTGACCGGATGCTGTAGAACTATCTTTTAAATTCAGTGATTTGTAGTAACAACAAGCACTTTTTTATTCTTGGTTGTGCATGGTGTGTTTGTCACCCGTAGTCATTGTGCAGCTGACACAAATGTCGTTCCACTTATCCTACTCACTATATTTCACCCTTATTAATGTAGTTTACATTAGTGAGTGGCTGTTTTAACACCATGGAGGAAAACTCATAGAATAAGTGATTCTGACTTTATGTGATCCCACACTTAATCAGGGCAGGGCTCCTTGTCTTCTTGTTTTTTGGCATTACCTTTTAATCAGTAATTTTATATTACTGCTTATCATTCCAGCAGGTTTAAATGCACTATTTTTTACCCACCAATTAGCAAAAACAGCACAGCTACTAATGAGATGGGTGACGTCCAGTGAGCATCGTGATCAAAAATAACCCAAACAGGTCAGGCACAGAGTCCAAGTAGCAGGAGAGTCACACTGCCCATTCAGAAGCCGGAAGCAGGCTCAGCAATCGGCCGCATTAATTCTAATTGCATGTTGACTGCGAGCCGTTTGTTTGTGATCTCATGGGCCGTCACACTGCGTGCCCCGCCGCTTCTGCGCCACCCCAATAAAAATGAAATAGAGTTTGATCGCTGGAGTAATTACACCTCATTTAGGTAATGTGCCTGCGTGGGGCGTTACAAGTGGAAATTTGAACAAAGTCAAACAGGCGAAGTGACAGCTGAAAGGGTCAGGCTTTATTTAAGAGGAGCTAGATTAAAAGTGGTGCCCAGAATGTAAGAAATGCACATAAGACTGCAGATTTTTAATTTGATAAATGCCGTTAGAGTATAGCAAGGTATATGCAAGTTTTTTGTAACATAAATACATGAAAAAACAAACAATAACATACAATAAACTCCCTACTGGACTGCTGGAGACACCTCACTTTAGCCGTCGATGCTGCAGAGTGTGTTATGGAGACGTCGACAGTGAAATCAGCAGCTCTCCTTGCTTACGATCTAATCCGAGCTAAGACACCACCTGGCATTTTACCTTCAGGGGTTTGCTGTGTTTACTGCAGCAGTAGCCTAAAGGCGAGAAATGTGGTTTACAAAGTAAAATTAAAAACAAGGTTTTTTTTATTACAACCTCTGAGTTGCCCTTGAGCAAAGCAGTAGAATTAAGTCAAAGTGAACGGCACTGTTGCTCATTCAGCATTCCTGAAATAAGTGAAGGTTGAAGGTACACAGTGACACAGCTTTCATTGAGTGCTTTCTCTTAGATAAACCGCCCACAGATAAAAGTTTAACAAAGCACTACATTATCCAGTACAAAGTGATAGCTGGAAATGTCCCCTTTTACCATTTCTTACTGAAGTGTATTCATGGAGCTGTTGGATTGCACCAAAATGACACTTTTTTTGTTTTTATCCAACTGAAGAAACAGAATATTCACATTTAGTGCGATCTAGCTGAAATTCAATTATTATTATTAAATGGTATTTCATGCAAGAGAGCTAATAAAGACAAATTAAATACTCACAGCTCTCATATTGATGTTTAAAGCGTTTTTGATTGATTCACAATATCAAGTCGTGCACTGAATAACACGCAAGGAAACATTCCACCCTAATCGCTGTCGGTAGATGCCGGTTGCATTCAAACAACACAATGAAAGACACTCATACCCTGACAGTTGGTTATTAATATTATTGCATGGATGTCAGTATAATTTTATTCTACCAAATTAAAAAGAATAACTGGGGAGAGAGAGGGCAACCATCCTGTAGGAAAGTAATGGAACAGAGGGAAGAAGACACATCTAGGGAGAGCAGCGGCTGATGAAGATGGTCAGGCAGGCTGAGATGGAGATTTATGATCTATTCATAAAGCCTGTCTAGCATTTGATCATGTGTTCAGGCTAATATATGAAAACCACCGTGGTTACCTTAGAAACCAGTCGCAACCCTGCCATGCTCATGCATCATCAGTGTCCTCCGGTATTTAGAGACACATCACTGCACCTCTGGCTGTATTCTGTGATATGCCAGCTGTTTGTCAAATATTATTTTGGTTTGAGCAACACTTTGCAATAAGAGATTCAAAAGTGGGGAACAGGAACTACTGCGTAAATATGCTTTTACACTGGGGGTAAAGACGTTATTGGCAAGTGTGACGTAAACCTGAAGCATTGAGAAATTATTGAGGACCTCTAATGATAAATCATACAGGAGAGGGTAGCACTAACAAAAAGACAGGAGTCAGAGCGGTGGAAGAGTGGAAAATGCTAAGATTTTTACTGGGAGTGACCAGAATGGTTGCGATTATAAATGAGTACATCAGAAGGACAGCTCAGGGCTCAGAGATAACGTTAGAGAGGCGAGGCTGAGATAGTTTTTATTGGACAAAGGGTGTAGAATATGGAGATGGAGGAAGGTGGGGTACCACAGAGGAGGTTCGTGGATGTAGCGAAGGAGGACATGCAAAGGGTTGGTGTGCCAGAAGAGGTTGATAAAGGTTGGGTAGGATGCGGGCAGATTATCTGCTGTTCCTACACATAAATGGACCAGCCAAAAGAAGAAGAAGAAGGGGAATGTAATAACGACGTGGTCCTAAAGTCATGATGAATGGCTACATAACTACTGATTAATTACTGAGTAACTACTGAGCAAGTATGTGTTTACAATGGAGTGTGGAGGAATGACTGCTAAGGATGACAAAGCAAAGAGAAATTGCTGAGGAACTATAATGATACATCAACTGAGCAGATAAAGAAACAGCAGGTAAAGTAGTTCTGAAATTATGAGCAACTACTTTGTAACTAGTGAGTAACTGCTGAGTAATATACTTAATTACTTGAGGTAATAAAAAAAGAATGACTAAGCAGCAATAAAGAAGCAATTAGTGTTTTGTTCTGCTGTGTTTGATGTAGAGTTTATCGAGAATGAACTCTACATATGAAAAAAAATGGACCTTCCCGGATTTACGGATGATTATGAACTAATCATTACCTAATGATTCACTAATAGTGTGTTTAGCAGCTGGCTCTTAAGTATTTAATAGCCCTGGGTCAAGAGTTATTAGGGAAGTACTAAAGAACAACTCTTTAACTATCAGACTGTTCCTGATTTGTTGTTCCTATTTCTTTAGCAACTATCCCCCTCTTAGAGCAATACACAGGGCTGACAGGAAGCTGCAAATGCAGTAAGAGGCTCGAGAGTAGTCCTTCTGAGAAATGAGCAAAGAAAAAGGAGACAGCTGGGATAAAGGTTAAGGAATTGTAGACAATTAAAAAACTTCTCGCTGTATATTTCTCTGCTTCTGTTTCTAACTCCATGGCATTCTTCCTTTGCCCTCTTTCTCTTTCCCAGGCTGGATGATTGATGCAGACAGCAGGCCGAAGTTCAAAGAGCTGGCCGCCGAGTTCTGCAGAATGGCCCGTGACCCACAGCGATATCTGGTGATTCAGGTGTGTCCTTTGATAATAAGTTTCCTTTGTTTCTTTTCTCTGCAAACATTTACATATCGTGCAGACACAAAAGTATTATCGGATGCATCTCTCGCTGCAATCTGTATGCTGCTGGAATTAATTTGGTGCTCGGCAATTAAAACTGTTACACGTGTGTAACTCAGGGAGACGACCGTATGAAGCTTCCCAGTCCCAATGACAGCAAGTTCTTCCAGAGCCTGCTGGACGAAGAGGACCTTGATGACTTGATGGATGCCGAGGAGTATCTGGTGCCTCGAGGTTTCAACATGGCCACTCAGTCGTGCACGACCAGGCCTCGTGTTGACCCCAACAGGGTAAGACCACTGACGAACACTGTGTTAAGCGTCATAGATGATCTCCAGCAAAAAACATCTTTAATTTTGTGTACGTGCCTCTTCTCTTTTACTGTCCTATATAAATGCTCAAGGTGGTTAAGAACCTGTAATACACTGATGATTTCCCTCTACTAATAACCTGCCTCCATCATTTCCATCAGTGCGTGTGTCTTAAACCTGGACTCTTTATGCAGTAGCTCCCCAGGCCCCAGGTTTCATTACTCAGGGCGCCATAGGCAAATAACAAGCCGCTATCTTAAAATGCTGGAGTCGTTTACAAATAGACAATGAGCACAGGCTGGGCTGCTTGCTTTGCAGCATGCACCATGCGCTGCTGGCCAGCCCATGGCTCCGCATCTTATACAACTTTAGCCCCACGACCTATCCATTTGCCAGTGGCTCTTTGTTCCCTGACAGCCGCGCACATACGCCAAAAAAACCCACACATGATAATCGAGTCAAAGTCCTACTTGTTTAAGGTCAACAACCAGATCGGCAATTGAAGATCTTTTGATTTTACAATCAGAAGCTGCCGCGTGCCCAAGCAGGGAAGGGTGTATAAATCCATCAGTGAGCTGACTTTGCCGAAGGAAGTTAGTTATTCAGGTTGTGCCGCCTCAGACACAGTCCGATATAGACAGTTATCTTATCTGTGCTGATTTGCTCTCACTCGCTCGCACTTGAAAAGATGAGCCGATAATGACTTGCTTTGAAGAAGGGATGAACAGAGAAGTTTGGAGGAGGAGGATGTTGATTGCAGTAGAGGGAAAACCGTAGGAGTAGGTGGACGAATATAACCCCGGGACATTTCCCTCTTTTCTGTTGTGTTTTGTAGATCTGCTTCCCGTAATTGCTGCTGTAGCACTAGCAGCTGGCAAGAGTGCAGAGAAGTTGGCCTGGATTAAATAGCCTGCGGCAAGCCAACACAGCTCCGCAAGAAGCCCTTTGCTTCATTTGTCATGTTTTGTATACTCTGGTGGGCCTTTTTTTTTAGGTTCAGGTGTTTGTATCATAGCTTTGCCTTGCTGCCCCTCACAGTCCCTGGTGGCTGATGACTACACCAGCAGAACTTTGTCTGAGAATTTTACTTCAAAAGGCAGCAGCATGGGTTAAAGCCTCACTGCTTTGCCGCAGGTGGAACAAAAGTTGTGTACGCTAGCTTAAACTTTGTTGTTATTAGCTTATTTGCCATAGATATTATATCATCAAAGAGTTAGACAGTACCCAGAGTACCTCAGACCAAAGATATTTACAGCTAAGTTATATCAGAAAGTATCTTAATCAGAATTTCTGGCAGAGAGCAGAATTCATGGTTCCATCAATTACAGCAAGTAATTGAACTGAAGCAGCAAACTGCCACTACATTGTACGGTATGATGCTCTTTTTATGAAGTGCTTTTATGAAGTATATTATGCAGATGTAGTGGAACTCAAACCTTCCACAAAGTTCAGATGTTGTTTCATCAGTCCACAGAAAATCTTTCAAAATTTTGGGGCATCATAAAGATGTTTTCTGGTCAATGTGAGACTTTGTGTTTTTGTTTTTGGTCTGCAGTGGTTTTCTCCTTGAACTCTCCCATGGATGCCATTTTTGCCCAGTCTCTGTCTTATTGTTGAATCATGAACATTGACTGCAGTTCTTTAGATCTTGTTCAGTCCACTTTTGGTAGGCCATTCACTCCTGGGAAGGTCCAATAACCGATTCAATTCCGATTCACAAGGTCCTGATTCGATTTGATTCAATTTTGACTCAGACAGTCAGAAATATTTTAATTCTGATCATTTATCAGTACATATCCATATTTTTTATGTCTACGTATAAAAACAAAGCTGACACTTGAGACTTCATCAGAGGTTTAAGCATCACGGCAGATGCCTATGTGTCAAAATAACTGAGGATAAAACGCAGAAAAACATGAAGGAGATTTTCCTGCCCTGGCTTTTTATAGCAGATTCTGCAGTAGAACAAAAACTGAAGCAAACCATGAATCAACCTATGGACGCATTACCTGCTGCTGCTGCTGCTGAAGTGAAGCAGAGCAAAGTTACAGAGGTGTTAACATCTTTCTGTGGAATCCGTTCACCTGCTTTTTAATCGTTTAGTGTTTTAACTCTTTGGCAGTTTTTGAAATAGTTTTGTGAGCCTGAGCTGAGATTCTGGCATTTCTGGCAAAATACATTCACATTTAAAAATTGATTCAGAATTTAATGAATCAATATCACATTATTCAAACTAAAATCAATTTGAAACAGAAAATAGATTTTTTTATACCCAGCCCTAATAATGGCTCTCACCGTGGTTCACCAAAGCCTTAGAAATGGTTTTTATAACAATTTCAAGACAGATAGATGTCAGTTTGTTAAATCTTAGCATGATGAATTGATATTTGAGATACTTTGGCCTACTTCAGTTTGCCACACAGGTTCTTGTTAAGTGATTTTTTGATTCAGTAGGTCTGGTAGTAATCAGGCTTGGGTGTGGCTTTTGAAATTGAATGTAACTTTACAAAAACATTTGGTTAATCACAGTTAATTCATGATTTTACAATCAAACAGAGCAAAATAGCCTTACTTGCACTTCTTTAGCAGAGAATCAGCTGCGTCATAAACTTATTTGCTCCGACTTGGACTTCATGGCCCCTCTTGAACTCATGCTATGCTCAGTTTTTCTTATCTTAACCCCAATCCCTGCCTCTCTTTACTGCAGAATCAATTTGGCTATCGAGATGGTGGTCCAAATGCTGCAGAAGGACCCTTGGCAGGCGCACAAGCTTGTGTGAACCAGGATGCCACAGGTGGCCCGAGCCCAGTCCTGGAGGACCAGCGTTGTAATGGAAGCCTGCATAAGAAGAGCCTGAGCCAGGCTGGAGGGGAAGACAGTGGGGGCCAGAGGTACAGTGCTGACCCAACCATCTTTCTGGGGGAGAGAGCATTGAGAGTGGACACTGATGAGGACGGATACATGACGGCAATGAAGGACAAGAGCTCCTCAGGTACTCATAGTAAAGCCTTATGAGACTGTTGTGGCCACTTGAATCATTTAGAAGATAATTAATCCAGTTTAATTTTCCAGAGTATACATTAGAAGCAGAATTGCTTTAAAGAAGCTAAAAATAAGTTCAGGTAGGAATTCTGCAGTCCTGCAGGGCATTTAATAGTAATGATGCATACATGCATTTTAGGAGCTGTATTTAATCCACAGCACATAGTAGATAATATTAAACTTGAAAATAACCTTACCTGATTAAAATAATTTCTTACTAATCTACAAAACAAAACTGTGCAGTGGAAGTTAAAGATTGATTACGCTACAATCGTCTGTGCAGCTCCACAAACAAAAACATAATTAAAATTATAAACAAGTACATAATATATGTGCACCTTTCTCTCTGTCCTGTCATCTCTTTGCTCATTCACAGAGTAAATACGATCTTTTGTACGATAGTCGGCCTGTCATTTTTCCTGTTCATTTCATCTCATTCCATTGATTAAAATTCCTACTGAGTTTCCTTCGACGGCGGTGTATGTCAGCTACTACTACAGAGTCATGTTTTGCCTTTGATCATAATTCAGTCCATCAGCCCTGCTCTTGCGCTACCGTCTTTGATTTTTTTTTTTTTTTTTGAGCAGCTCAAAATATAACAAAGCCTGCAGCAAAATGCATCTGATGCAATGTCAAGGAGTGGAAAAGTGGGCAAAATCAATAGGTTTCTCACCCCACTATTATAGCGCTTGGAAGCAGTGAAGAGGGGTCATTTGTTGGCATTTTCAACCCCGGCAGATGGAGTTTCCAGTGCCAAAGAACTGCTGGCAAGATGCCCGTCTTGTCCTGAGTGCCTGCCATTATCGCCATTATCATCTCCATCTTCTCTCCTCATTACCGACTGATCTCTTTCTTTTACTCCATTTCATTCTCTATTTCCTTTGTTTTCTCACCTCTTGATTTAATTTCTCCAAATTTTTTGTTATTGCTGTCTGAACTGTTTTTCTCTTCTTCTAATTCACTCTCCTTCTCATTCATTTTCTGTGGTACAGAATATCTGAATCCCATCGAGGAGAACCCGTTTGTCACGCGACGTAAAAACGGCGAGATCCACGCCCTGGATAACCCAGGCTACCACAGCACACCCAACAGTCAGCCCAAAGGAGAGGACGAGTACATCAATGAGCCCCTCTACCTTAACACCTTCCATACCCCCGCTGAGTTGGGCCTGGAAGCCCTGAGGAGAAATGGTCTGCCCCTACCCACCCAGCCTCCTTCTTCTATCTCAGCCACAACCTCAGGCTCCCATCTCCCGCTTACCATCCAGACTAGCCTGCCCCACTACCCCCTCCCCACAGCCCAACCATCTCCATCTGGTATCCCTTGCCACCATGGTCCACCGACTCACATCCTCCATGCCCACCACCCCGTCAAACCTGCAGGGCAACCTGGCAATCCAGGTGGCGGCTCTGTTGCTCAGAGCCAAGCAGGAACTACTGCTCAGGCTCAGGTGAGCCAGTCGGGTGCCCTGTCCACTTCAGCCACCATCGGGCATGGCAGCCTACCAGCCTACCAGAGCTACGCCACCACACACCCTGCCAGTTTGCTGAAGCATGGAGGGCAAACATCAGGTAAAGCCAGCGGGAAGAAGCTAAAGGTGACCTTTGACAATCCAGAATACTGGCAGCACAGCTTGCCTCCCAAATCATCTAACCAGGCAGCCTCAGATGGTGCCCAGGGAGGTTCCACCAACGCCAAGCTCTTCTATAAGCAGAATGGACACATACGGCCGGCAGTAGCTGAAAACCCTGAATACATGTCTGAGTTTTCCCTGAAAGCTGGAACCATCTTGCCACCTCCACCTTACCGGCAGCGAAACACTGTGGTCTAGATTATTCCGTTTAACAAACGTTCCCCAATCTTCCTCTAGCCTCCAACAAGCCCAACATCCTCTCCAGTTCCACGGTCCTACACAAAGAGAGAGTAGCCCCAACCAAGGCTGCTCTCAGCCCTGCCCAGATAACAGGCCATCTGCTGTAGATTGTAGCAACATCTGGAGGAGGTGGACCGAACCAAGCAGAAGCAACTCAGACCCCTGAACTGTCACTATAGACAATCTCGTCCATCTCTGTTCTGTAGATAGAGACTGTGCTCCATGTCATTCAGAATATCAAGGTTATGGTAGTTTTCAGTAAAGAACAGATGCTTAATTATCACACAGCAGTGGACGGACTGTATCTGGGGGTACCTGAACTCACTGCCAGCCACTTGGGTTTCAGATTTGTGAGAGGAACAAGAAGTTTTACTAATCTTTTTGCTTTCTATTATAACGTTCTGAGGAGAAACAATATTCTGCAAAGGGTTTCTGAAAGACACAATCACATAGAACAAATACAGTCTGTTAGATGTCAAGATGCCTGGTTTTCTGAATGACCTTAGAGTGAGGTAGCCAGGCAACAAAAGCAAAATATGGAGGAAGAAAAGACAATATAGAGTGGGCAACAAAAGATGGAGCACTCATCAATCATATTCAGTGATTTTTGCCTATAGGATTATACCCACCGTGTGTTCTTTTATATAAAATATGTGAATTTCATCTCATCCTTCTACTGTAACTGTGATACTGTGATGGACAAAACTACAGTGATCTTTTCTTTCACACTTGTAGTTCAACCATGGACTTTTTAAATTGCTCGAGAATCTGCAGGGCAACTGCTGTTCTGTTGGTTTTGCTTGGCTGCTGTCTGTTTGGAGAAGCTGACTAAAACAGCTTTCCCAGGGCAAATGGTAAAAGGGAAACCACACTGTAAACACTTTTATAATCACGGGTTTCAGTGCTGAAAAGATTTTTATACACTGGTTTTCCCATTCAAATCGTGAAGCTAATGAGAAAACCTGCTATGAGCTGTAGAGTACTCAACAGTAAAGCAGCTGAACTCAAAATGGTGTTCAAAGAGAGAGAAAAAACTACAGAAAGGGGAGGAAAAGTTCATGAAAGTTTATACAAACTGACTAATGAAGACCTCAAGGAAGGAACAAGACAGCACCAGCAGAGCACAGTTAAACAGACTACTTTATATGTCTATCTGTCTTTATGTCAGTGTGATTGGGATTAGTGTGTGCGTGTATGTTCATATTTTAGCAAGCTACAGATGACCCCACTGGGGGGTAAAAGTCAGTGTTAATGGAGTCGAAAGCTAAAGATCTTCAGTACTAACCAACGATCGACTCTATCAAGGCTTTTTTTTCCTATGTCAAGTATAAAACAAATCAAGCTCAAATCAAAAGATCATTAAAAGCCCCAAACTGCACCAAATGGCACCAAATCTCTGGAAGGGTTTTTATAGATTTAGGGTGTCCTTAGCTAACGTTACTTTCTTTGAGTTGATCAAAATCAAGAATGTGAGGATTTATCATTTTATTAACTGGAACTGGTGCTCGTCCCGGTCATGGTGTTTGTTATATTCTCGATTGCTTGGTCCGAGAAAAAGTACAACTCTAGACTACTTTTGGCCACATAACTCTTGATTATTTTTGTCCACATCTGATCTAGATGTTTTTTGCTTTTTTTTTACAGAATCATGTTTTTTCCAGACCCCACCCATATTCTCATTAGACTGTTAATTGGTAGCTAATTTCATTTTGGCTACTAGAAGTGTCAGTGGTTCCTACCCAAATTGTTCACAAGGCAGAAGTCGATAAGCTAACCTTGTCTGCTAGAAAATGTATTTTAAAGAGCAAGAAAAAATGATGCTTTCAAACAAGTCAGATGTTTTAAAGCTAAATTTATTCTTTAGCATTAAAGCTAGCTTAAGCCTCACATGCACCTCCATAGAATTGTAACTACACCTTGTGGCAACATAGATCTCTGATCTTGCCAACCAATATGTGGCCATAGATTGTGGCTAAATACAGAAAACTTGACAGTAGCTTGAAGTGTATATTTTATTTATATTTCAACCAGGACAACTATAGTCAGAAGACTGTTGTTTTAGTAATTTCTGTTTGGAGGTATGGTTCTATTCTGGGGTAATGTAGAAAGCACAAAGCAGGGAGACTCCTTTCACGTAAACTATACTTCTGTATCAGCTCTACGTCGTAACTTATACCATAACCAGACCCCATTTTAACCCTATGCCGCAACCTTCTAAGTAACCCGTCGTGCACTTCCCTAGAAATGTAACTACATGTCGGGCCAATGCATACCACAACGACTTGATGGTGTGGAAGACCTCAGTGTAGGGACACAAGGATTTTCCAATTAAGTAGTTAGTTGGGATGTTGAGATTTCCCACAGAAGTCTAAATGAAGTTTAAGATTTCACAGAGCAGAAATAACAACAAATGTGAAAAGGAAGAGTTAGCTGGATGTGGGGTTGGCTGCTTCCAAAAAACTGTCATAAGGATGTGTAGAAGGGTACTAGCTGAGACATTAGCTTATCATTAGCTGGGACTGTGGTGGAGCTTGACTTTGTCACCTGGCTGAACTTGGGCTTTGCTCCATGTATAAGTTGTGGTCAGAAGTTTATATCCACTCATCACAAATATCATGGTCATTTTGGGCTTCTAATGAATTCTTTGAAACTGTCTTTTTTCCACGGTGAAATGACTGTATAGTATACATATTTAATGACTTTAAAAACAAAAAATTGGGCTTTAAAGTTTTAAAAAGTATCTGGCATAATTCTGGCTGGATATTTGGCCACTATTCTTGGCATGCATTGAAAATGTAAAAAGTAAAAGAAAAAAATTCTAAGCTGAAAAATAACACGACATTCATGCCCATGATGAGTGTATGTTAACCTACAACCACAACTGGCCAAACCAAGTTCATAAAGCAAGCTCTGTTTTGAATACATGTAATTTTTTTTAACGCAGCACAGGGTAACTGGTAAAAGAAATGAGTACTATACTATATGACATCTTTTCAGTTAAAACTATAATGTTATGTTTTCCAATATTAAGTTAGTTTAGTTTTCATTTGTTTCTTGGTGAATCACCAGACAGTCAACTACTGTTACCAGTATTAATAACTGTGCCAATTTTTAACATACCTAAGAAAGTCATTTCTTGTTTTGTTTGATGTAATTTGCACTTTCAGCACCACTGAGTTTTAAATTAATTAGTCTAGCCACTGTTTAACGAAGCTTCTAATCTATAAAGGCTTCACATCTGTTCTTAGCCCAGAGTGATATCATCACTCTCAAGAAATCTCAAGAAAATAGTTCTAACCCTGACTACTGATGCCTGTGTAGGCAACTTGCCAGTCAATGCTGCTGAAAGCACTGTATTACAGCCGTTACTTCTTCCACCAAGCCATACACAACACCTGTGGGTAGGGGAAAACACTGCAACGCTTGCCAAACTTAGAAGTTCAAGATAAAACTTGTGTAATGTTGGTTTCTCTCAGAGGTCCTTTTGCAATATCTCCTTTATTTAGTTGAATGAATATGAAGAAAAACTTGTAGTTCTTGAACCTTTAACAACAACGGTATTTTTCATTATTTGTGGAGCATAAATATTGCTTTGTCATAGTTTCAACAACCTTTCATCATCCTGCTCTGCCAGAGCCCAGCCCTGCCTAAGCTGTGTTCTTGCGTAGGTTATTTATTTTGTGTATTTAAAAGTGTGTGAAAGTGTGCTTGTCTCAGTCTATGCACATGTAACGCTGTATGTGTTTATCCTCCCCATGGAGCACTTTGATCAAAGTCGCGGGTATAAAGAAAGGATTTCCACTCTTCGTTACTGAAATATTCAACTTGTTTATCCAGCCGTTTACCACTTCAGAAAGCAATAGCTTTAGCAAAAGTACAAGGAAGGAACTGGGGCCAAGAGGTCATAAGGAAAACACATTTTACATGGTACTTGACCAGCTTCAAGAATGTCCTTGTTTCCATGTTTTTTCATTGGCTTCAAACAGTATTTATAGTAGTGCTTTGATGCTGTTATGATTAATTGATGAAGGAGTATTTTGTAGTCCTTTTTCGAGCTCTAATTCAGTGAAATAGAGACAGCATTTAATATCAATGTGAAATATTTATGGCGCGTTTGAGCTTGTTTATACTGAGCGATGGAAGCGACTGCCAAATCTGGGTTTCAAGAAAAAGGAACAAAAATATGATGGTGGTCGAAAGAAAAACACACGCCTTGGTTTATGCCTGTTTTGCCCTAAATTACACTGCAGACCCAGGCAAAATGTGTGTTTGAATCAAGAACAGATTGAAGGACTGATGATACGACTGGTTTCAAATGTTTTCAAGAGCACTTAAGAGAATCCGAGGCATCCCCACTCTCCCATTTTTGATCTGAGTCAAAAATGGGAGAGTGACTTGTTTGTTGACAGAAAGGCAGGAAAAAGCACCTGAAGTTCCCCTTCTGACAAGTCGTGTTTTTTCCCATCCTAAGGCCTTGGTTATCCTTTTAGAGTACCAAAATGTGTTGCGTCTATGTGGAAGCATTTTTTTTTCCTCTGAAAACTAATATCTTGTGTCTTGTTTCAAACTAGTTTTGCCTTGGTGTTACCTGCTGCTATTTGTCTCAGTCCTTAACAGGCTTGTGTTCGTGGCAGTTCAAAAGCATGCCAGGGGGAAACACTGCTGGTTAGGCTGATCCTTTTTATATTATTTTCTGGGTTTAGTTTTTGTTTTTTTTTTACTGCCTCCTCAAAGCCAAGGTGCAAAGGCATGTAGCCATGTCCTGAACCGAATCCGTCAATATTTTATCCTCAAACACCATACAGGCTTCAACAAAGTCTATTGTATAGTAAATATTACATTGCATGGTTCCCAAAGTGAGTGTTTTACTGCCCTCCACCTTTGTATCTCATTTATGACAACATTATAGTCAAATTTCTGTCCAGTGTGGGAAAAATTAACCAGATATTTTTTATCGAGTTTAGTAGCACAAACTGGGAATCCTTATTTCTGCGATGATTCATGGGAATTTTTGTGTGTGAGTGTAGTACACCCCCACCCCCTCCCTACAGTGTCTTTTTAATATTGAGTTTTATCCTTAGTATCAACGATGTAACTTCTTTTTCCCACTATTGTGTTGGCTACTGTACATTGTTCGACGTGTTTGTTATTCTAGCCACGTTTTTTGGTTTCTTGACATTTTAATTGCACAAAAGAAGAAAAAGCTACTCTTAGCTACTCCCTTATTCACAAGGGGTTGCCATAGCGGGTAGCTCCACATATTCGGTTTGGTAGATTTTTACGCCGGATGCCCTTCCTGATACAGCCCCGAAGGGATTTGCGTCTCAAATCAAACCAGGAATCTTTCGCTTGTTAGGCGAATGTATAAACCACTATACCATTGTCCCTCATAAAAGAAAGTCATTCATTTTCTGTATTCAAATCATTGTATCAGTATAACTGTACAGAATCTTTGGGATTTCCTCCCAGATTTATCTAACACACTTCAACAACAAATGTGAATAATATTTTTATAAAGCACTGAAATGGCCGACTTGGTGAATTTGTAAATAAGGAGGCGATGCTTTGAATTTATATTGGTCTTCTCTCCTACTGCTTTTTTCTCCTGCTTATATCAACTTGTACAAAAAGAGCCGTACATATTTGCTTTATGTAAGTGTACCCTTTTTACTAATGGGTATTTCATTTTAAAAGTGCTTGTTGTTCCCTTCTCATGTGAAACTCTGTTCAGTGGCCCTGCTTCAGACCTTTGTGGCTGTTCACGTGTAACGTTTCAGTTTAAGTGAACACTGTTAAACACTACACAAATAACAATGGGTGGTGTCTCACTTTGAATACTTCCATAATAGTAGCATATTAGCTTGATAGTGTAGTGTTGTCTGAAATCAGGCATGACAAGAGGCTGGACTATTGGAGCATTTGACCATGGCTGTCATGCTAGCTGGCACATTTTGTTCATGTTTACATTTGTCAAGTTACTTACTAAATGTAATACTAAATTCTTCTGAAGTAATGTAAACACAGTAACATCAGTCCCAGATTGAAAAATCTTTTGCTTTTAGCTTCCCAGATAGCATTAACAAGGATTGTTGCGCTAGCTGCAACATTTTATAAACATATGACAAAATGAGCTTCTTACCATGTATAACACTTCTCTGTCATTGCAGATGTAAGTTTAACATGCATAAATATCAGTCGGTGCCATAATGCGTGAAATATCAATCCCGGGTTGCTAAACATCTACTGGCGGTAGCTAGCTAGATAGCGCAGACTGCAAGTGTCACACTAGATGGCGCATTTAGTGAATTTATCAAGTTGTTGAGCCTCTGGTCAGATATCTTACACTAAAATCTCTATGAAGTCACAGAAAACTACCAGACAATACCACAGTGCAGACAACATGCCGACAACACAAAAACAACTAGCTAGCTAGTATTAGCTCAATATCTGGCTCTAATTTGAAGATCAGCTGTTAATGCCTTAGTTTCCACTACTTAAGGCCCAAGTCAGACAGGCTGTGCTACGGGTTCACCATTCTCTTTGCAATATCTGATCACTAAGGAAAGATGTATGGTCCCCCACCAGTTAACAAGTGGTTGCTGGAGATTGCTGTCTGTCACAAATGGGGTGCTGCATCAGATAGCCTCCTTGTGATTGTTTTGTTTGCTTGCATATTGTTGCTTTTGCCTGTAGTTTGCATGAAAAGCAGCCACTTTTCAGCTATGCTCTATGTAACTGGAAACTGAGAACATTCACCTTAAAAATAAAAGCAGTGCCTTATCATTGGAACTAAGACATTTCAAAAGGTGCAACTTTTATAATTAAGGTGAATATTTGCCAATTGTGCCACACTTTTGTCAGTTTCACAACAGCTTAACGAGTAGTTTGCGAGCATTTGCAGACACGTTGGATGCTTCCATGCAAACTGGAGACTGTGCCAGTCTAACAGTGGCTAAAACAATCATAAGTAGATTTTTGGTACAACTCTGTATACCTGTTGGTAACCAATGTCATACTAGCAACCGCCAGCAACCTCCAGCAGCCATTTGCATACTATTTGTGGAATATACACTCTTTTGCCATGGTGTTCACTAGCTGTTAGGGTAACCCCACTCACTCTAGGCCTAAGTGAGTGAAGGTTTTAGCAATCAATTTCACAGTCATTGCTCGCAACATCCAGCAACCACTCATCAACCAGTTGGGCGATGAACATTTTTCCCTAGCAAACGGTCATAATCAGATTATTCCCAGCTGGTCTCTAAGCCTGTGTGAATAGGTCCTGGGCAAGATTCGGAATAGTGCATGCCATTCACAAAATAACTGTAGGAGTGGGAGTACGCAAACTGAGACACATCTGATTTACTTTTCCAATGCCTACCATGTCAGTCAACCAAGAGAACTCAATGCCATCTTTCTAAATGTCATAAAACTGAAACCCGTGGTCCCAACTAACCTATATAAACTGTGTTTGAGAGTCAGTGTTACCTTCTCTGCTTACTTTCAATTCAAAATATTACTGAGCCAAGTCCACCCTCTTACTCCTCTTTTCTGCACAGCCTTCACAATAGGCCCTGATTTCATTTAATTTGTTTTGCATGCTTTCAAAAGGAGACATAGTGGAGAGAAGGCGTCATCGCTTGCTCCTCTTTGCGTACTGTTGGTTTTCAATACTTTCCCCTTGTCCCTTTACCCAACACCGTCATTGCTGACTTTCTCTTTGAGTACTTTGAAACCATACCCAAAGCTTTATATCATAGAAATACCGTTCCTCATGTTTGTTACATGAATCTGTCAAAAGTATATTTTTAATTTAATATAAATAAAGATTGATTCGATATATGGTGTGGTCGTTTGTGCACGTGTGTTTAGTAAGTGTTGTGTGGGCTTTTTTTTACTTGATATTTACTTGGGAAAGCACCACTTTAAAGTTTTTATCCTTGTTATGAGTTGCGTATCTTCAAAATCAGCCAAATCAGGGATTGCTAACCTTATTAGGCATTCTGTATCTTTTTCAAATACCCCTCAGTGGGGAAGCTCAAGTCCTCAGCCCAGATCATAGGTTCCCTTGCTCGACACGCCACCTTGCTGCCTATAAATAGAGTGGAAAACGAAAGCTGCTTTCAGATCCTCTAATCCACATGCTAACAGCTTCAATAATAAAATTTAGCAGATGGTGTCTTTAATTAAGGCAAGGAAGCTCTCAAGTTACAGTGCGCTTATTTTGACCCGACTTCTTGAGATGAACATTTCAGAAACTTGCACTGGAGACGAGATGCTGCACCGCTCCACGCTTTCATGCTCAAAAGGACTTGCAGATGAAGACCAGCTGCATCAAAAAGGTCCGCAGTGTGCTCGCCTAGCTTCCTCCAAAACCTCGCCTCAAATCGGATAATGTGTGGATACAACATTTTGCTGTCGTTTTACTCTCGCCCCGCGCTGCGCTTAATACACTGTTTACCCAAGTGTTGGTTATGTAAACTGGCATAGGCAACATCTTTGCTATGCAAGCGCTCCTTCATTCCACTCCCAGGCTTTCATTTCAATCATAAATAATACAAAACTGTCCAATGGCAGAATATGAGCTTTCTGAAGTCACTGCTATTAATACTAATAAGGCAATGGGGTGCTTTAAGTAAACAGTGTTTATGAACTAAAATCCTCCCCCTCCTTTTTCGTCCTCCTTCTACCCCTCTCCCCTCTCTCTCTGTTAGTTTCCTCAGAGCACCGAGACTCGATTAGTAAGCACATCGAGTTCCACCACAGTAATTTAGAGAGGTGGGCTTCTACTGCGGATGAACAGTATTTGAACTATCTCCTGTTATATATTCTTATAAAGCTGCTTATTTAAAATCTATATTAGGTCTGGCTTCTTCAGTGACTGTCCAGAAAAATTACGTTTCCCATTCGCTGCATAAAAAGGTAATTTAATTGATACTCATTCCCTTCCTAACACCGAACTCACATAATAGACAGATTATCTTGAACATTAAGCACACTTGCCGACAAGACTTTGCACATTATCACCCACACCAGACAGCAAAGGGGGGAGAGGTCACTGTTAATTTGGCAACTGCTGTATAACCATTTGTCAGTGTATTACAAGTCTCCTTTAAAGCCATTCTTCCATTGAAGCCCGCTATCGCCGCCAGGAGACGAGGGTTCAGCTCCATCCCGGAGGCCTGTAGCAATTATACTTACAGCTGCCCTGTACACCTGTGACATAGCTCGACGATGACAGCTCATTGCCAACAGACTGCCGCTGTTTAATTGCAGCGTGTCACCTTGACGGGGTGTTTTGCCCACATCTCCTCGCACCAAGGAGAGGCAGCTTTTTGAAATGGAGCCACAAGATTGATGACCCTTTAATATAGCAGCCTGGGGTTTGACTAGTGCTTGTTTTTTTTGTTTGTTTGCCACCAGAGTTTCATTTATTGTGGTCAGAAGTACTCTCAGCTGGATCTGGACCCCAAGTGTAAAATGGTATAATGTAGAATTATTCCATGAATTGGGAAGGCTCTCTTGAAATAAAGAACAAATGCTCTACTTATATAAATTCATTGCTGTACTTATATGCACTTATTGCCCATATAAATTCAGGAAGACAGCTTTATGTCAATGAGCTACTTTCTCTAAAGATTAAAATGGCTGTTTTTCCATTTTAGTGTACTTATTAGGATGCAGATAACACGTTTTTGATTTAATGCTGACACATTACCAAGACCTTACTTAGTCTATGTGCTGCTGATGTGCTGGAAAAGTGTATATATGTCAATACTGTTCAAAGTGTACCATAGAGCATGTCTTTTTTGCATCAGCCAAAAGGCATACTGAAGTGGAATTGTGTTTTAAAAAAAGAAACGAACAGAGAAACATACTCACGCGCCACTTTATTGGGTACATTTTTCTAGTATCAGGCTTAACTTGTTTTCAGAGATGCATACATTCAACAAGGCGATAGCAGTACACTGTTGCTGTAGATCTGTCATGTTCAACATCAGTTTCAGATGATCTACACTTTGTGACATGGGATGGACATGTTCAACAACAATACAAGAAAATATCCCCCAAACCATTAACACCACAACCAGGCAGGATGGATCCATGCTTTCATGTTGTTTACACCCAATTCTGAACCTACCATTTGAATGTTGCAGCAGAAATTGAGACTTATCAGACCTGGCAACGTTTTTCCAATTTTAGTGCAGCCATCGCCTCTGTTTCCTGTTCTTAGCTGACAGGAATGACACCCAGTGTGGTCTTCTGCTGCTTTAGTCCATCGAGGTTCAATGTCTGTAGAGATGTAGAGATGCTCTTCTGCATGCCCTGGTTGGGGGCGATCGTGGCTCACGAGTTGGGTGTTTGTCTTGTAATCGGAAGGTTGCCGGTTCGAGCCCCGGCTCCGACAGTCTCGGTCGTTGTGTCCTTGGGCAAGACACTTCACCCGTAGCCTACTGGTGATGGTCAGGTGGCGCGAGGCAGTGAGGCTGCCGTCCGGCCTCGCCTCTGTCGGTGCGCCCCAGGGCGGCTGTGGCTACACTGTAGCTTGCCATCACCAGTGTGTGAATATGTGTGTGAGTGGGTGGATGATTGTGTATAGTGTAAAGCGCTTTGGGGTCCTTAGGACCAAGTAAAGCGCTATACAAATACAGACCATTTATACTGTTACCTTCCTTTTAGCTCAGAGCCATCTGACTATTCACCTCTGACCTCTGACATCAACAAGGCATTTTCACCTTTATGGATGTTTTCTGTTTAGATTTACTACTATTAGTTGTCCGGACATGTTTACAGATAAACACAGCGTGTAATTCATTTCTCACACTTGTGCTTATGAGTTCGATTTTGGAGAAGGAAAGAAAAGGGACATCCACACAGACACCACCATCCAAACTCTTTATTTACACATCCGTATGCACATCACTTCAACATGTGGAGACGTTCAAAGCTTGCCATACTAGCTGTTGCTTGGTTACAGTTGTGAAGCTTCATGGGAGTGTGAGACGGTTAGGTATTATTTACTCTGCTGATGTTATGATATTATCCTCTCTCCGAAACATCTGGATTCCGTAGGATTCAAACTGCCACCGAAAAGCTGCTAGAATTGAATCATAAATCTGTTTCTCTGTTAATCTGTGTCGTTACAGCGCTCCTCTTCGTCATTTTAGTGCTAATCTGACATCATTACTCTAACATATTGCACCTTTTTAACTTCAGATGTCATATTTACATTGTAATAACACAGGGAAAACTGCTCGTGGTGTTGTGCAATTAATGTAATGTGCAATTAAATTCAGAACGTGTGGGTTACGCGGTTAAAGATATGAAGCATAAATCACAGTTATCTCCCATCATGGGGCCATATCTCTCCTGCCGCGCCACGGCTGCACATGGTTAATGTTAGCTGGCAATTTTCATGAGTTATATCCAGCGCGATCCAGTGCTGAAGCAAGCACAGAATCAGGGGCAAAGCCACGAGTTTTGCCAGCATAATTAACCTACGTGATCGTTAAGTCTTCACCAAGCTGTAAAAGATTGACTCTTTCCCCTCTGTTTAACCTCAGGCCGGCCAAACCAATCGTGACGGCATCAAATATATAGACTGTGTATGATTTCAACGAATGAACTCAGGATAAATGTGAGCGTGATCCTGCGGTTAATCTTTCAAATGCATGCATGTCGTTTCATAGCTATCAGAGATTTCAAAGGACGTTTTGCAGCTTTAAATATGAAGCTATGGTAAGCTCCTGCATCATTAGTATTCCTCAGCAATCCCTCCAAAGCCACGCAGATCCAGTAAGTGGTTATTTAGTCTAATCGTTTAGAAAATAGCTTTGTTATTACACCTTTTTTGCTAATTTGAGGAAAAGGTATCTACCCTTCAACCCCCCCACCTAAAGCTAGGTGAAATGTTTATTACTGACTCAGCTGCAACCTGAGGTTTTAAATCCTGGGATCTGTCATTTTCAAACTCAAATAAAAGTTTCCTGTTTATAATTGAATATTTCTTTAAAACTCCAGGCTGCTGTTGTTGTTACATTAGCCTTTTTTTTTTTCACCAACCAGATTGGAAACCGGTGGGACATGCTAGCTACATGCCTGAGGCTTACACAAAAGTATGGGGGAAAAACAGACCCAAAGAGACCTATCTGCTGCCTCCCACTGAAGACGCTCAGTCCAGTCTGCAGCTGAGGATTACCGTGTGGAACGCAGGAGGAGGAACGTGAGACAGCAACTTCCTGTGAGGCAACTTTTCCACACAACATAGTAATCAGAGCAGAGATGTCAGCAGAGGAGAGAGCAGAAAACAAGAGAGGGAGAGTTAGAGAGGAGAGGCCAAATGGAGGTAAAGGTTGGGCACAACAGCCTGAGGCACACTGTCGGGGGCAGAGAGCTGCACAAAATCACCTCTGAAAGGGTAGCTGCTGTTGACTGAAATCATAACAATACTGTGAGAGGCTTGATTTTAGAAAATATTTTAGGAAAAAAAACTTGTGAGGAAAACTAAAAGTGCCGTAAACAGAATGTGTGCTTGCTATTCCTTCTACACAAAGTTATTATACATGCTGATTAGTGCGAAGAGCTGTTTTACGATGAAAACTACGGCTCAAGCAGCTAGAATCATCACTTCAGGTTATGAATGATATGATATATGAGGCACCTTTCAGTCGATGAGTGGTGGTGGTGGTGAGGGGGGGGGGCAACCCCCCCCAAATTTCCAGCTGCCATGTTTGTGTTTTCTACAGTTGTGGTGAGAAGTTTCCATCCATTAATCAGCCTGAATGCCGTGGTAATTTGGGGCTTTTAATGGTTTCTTTGAACTGTTCTTTTATCCCGGGTTG